CCCTATCTCAACACCCATTTTAAATCCTTCCAGCTGGAAGCCCCATTCAGTTGGGAAATTTAGATAGAAAAATCATGGAAAAAGCATGCCTAGATTGACAATAGTTCTCCCAATAGTTGAAGCTTATAAGGCAGGATGTAAATTTGCGAAATTTCTTCCAATGTTTGCCGTGAGGAAGAATTACTTCATTCATCACTGACTTGATTCATGAGGCAGTGGCAATAGTACTGGGGAAAGTGGAATTTATATCACTGGGAACATCCTACATCTGAATGGAGCTAGTGCGAATGATATAGCAAGCCAACTAGGGAAGCAGAGACGGCTTTGAAGTAAATAGTGGGAGCAATAGAGAAAACTTGAGAAGATGTAGTAAATCAAAGAATAGAAACAAAGCAAGAGAGAAAGGTATTAAAATGAAAAACAATAAACAGACCACAACAGAAAGGGATAAAGAGGACATATCTGTGAGTAAATCATCAGGTAAGCCTAAAGGTTAGAAAAATTGTAAGCTGACAAAACTAAAGGTTCCCTATCTGAATGCATGTAGCATTCTGATTAATTCAGACAATTTGATATCACGGTAGAAATTTTAAGATTAAATAAGTGCAATCAGATAACCATTATGAAAACTTGGCTGTAGAATGACAGTTCGGGACCCAAATTTTGAAGGGTTCCATACATTTAACAAGAACAGAAAGTTAGTGAAAGTGAATGAGTGGCTCTGTTAATTAATGATCTTATTGGTGGAATAGATGAGGATGTCCTAAGTTCAGGAAACCAGACTATAGAAGTGGCCTGGACAGAAAAAAAAATGTTAAAGGCTTGCTGTGATAGTGGGAGTGGTGCACAAGGCTGCTAACAGTAACCACACAACAGAGTATGAAGGGAGAAAAAAATGGGAGCTCAGTGCACAAATGCAGCAATAATCAAGTGGTCTCAATCTATACATAGACTGGAAAAATCAGACGAGAATAGATCACCTAGAAGATAGAATGCTTTCAGGATAGTTTCTTAGAACAGCTGGCCAGACTTCAGGCCTGATATTATGCAATGAAGTCAGAGTAATTAATGATCTCATAGTGAAAGTACCTCTAGGTAGTAGTGATTCTACTATGATTAAATTTTACATTCAATTTGCGTTTTATTTTAATTCATTAATGGGATGAGGGCATTGCTGGCTAGGCAGCATTTATTGTCCATCCCTAATTGCCCAGAGGGCAGTTCAGAGTCAACCATATGGCTGTGGGTCTGGAGTCACATGTAGGCCAGACCAGGTAAGACCAAGGGTGTGGGGGGAGTTGAAATGGGCAGTGACCAGGAGGTTAGGCTGGCCATTTCAGGTCAGACAAAGATGGTTGGTGAAACGGTAACCTAGTCTACGTCTGGTGTCACCGATGTAGAGAAGACCGTTTCACTGAGCATCTTCGCCTGGCACAAAACGGCCACTGCCCATTTCAACTCCCTCCATGCACCACCCACACAACCCCCCAACCCTGCCACCACCCCCCACAATTGCACCTCTGACACGCCCATCCTCAGCCTCCTCCAGTGTTGCAGTGAATCAGATTGCAAATTTGAGGAACAACAACGCCTGGGCACCCGACAGCCTGGAGGGCTTAACACTGAGTTCTCTAATTTCCCACCCATCCTCCAGCTCCCTTTCCAGCCCCACCTCCTCCACCAACCTGATTCATCCCTCCCATCGACCAACTAGTTCATACCTACTACTTGTGTCCACCTATCCCACCATTTTGCTAACCCCCTCCACCCCCCACTTTATCTGCAGCTACCCCTATCCCCCACATCCAGTCCTGAAGAAGGGTAATACCCAAAACATTGACTGTTCCTTTCCTCCAGATGTTGCCTGGCTTGCTGTGTTCTTCCAGCTTTCTGTTTGTCTACCTTGGATTCCAGCATCTGCAGTCCTTTTGTCTGTAATATTAGCAGTTACCCATTCAGAACCATTATTTTATTCCACCAGTTTAATTTCATATTTTAAGAAGCTGAATTGTTCCACAACTCAGGGAGGTCATTATCTAAAATCATTGATTCAAAATCAGCAGCAGCCTGGGTAGACAGGGAGAAACTGTTTCCATTCATAAACAGAACAAGAAGAAAAGGGCATAGATTTAAATTGTAAAAGGAGCAAGGGTGAAGCAAGGAAAATCTTTTTTCACTCAGTGAGTAATTAGGGTACAGAATGCACTGTCTGGAAATGTGGTGGAGGGAAGTTCAACTGAGGTATCCAAAAGGGAACTTAATAGTTATTTGGTTAAAAAATAATGTGCAAGGGACAGAGTGAAAGGTGATTGGTGCTAAGCAATGATCTCATTTAATGAGCCAGTGTAGGCACACAATAGACCAAATGGTTTACTACGATGTCTGTGGTTCTGAGAGCAATATTAAGTTGTTGCATATTAGTTGACTTCAGCCTGGATCTAATTGGCCTCAGAGCAGATAAATAGACAAGAATTCTTTCTCTTGTCACTTGTAGAGCTGTGGCAGCAAAGAATGAACAACTCAACACTTACTCAGTCCATGAAATCATCGCTGGGTGGACCTTAATGGTACAGCACCAATGGTACAGCAACCCGTTTTACAGATCGATATTTACCCAGCCACAAATGGGCTGCTAAATTCAAGCAACAGATTCCAGAGACTCTTAAGAGTACTTTTGAAATGAATGGTATTGTGCTGAGGTCTTCAGCAAACTTTCTTCTGGCTTGAGAAGCAGGGTCCACATCTATGCTTAACAGAAAACCTAAAGGTATAATCATATCATTACACAAAAATAGAAGTGGTTTCACACCATTGATGCTAATCTGAGATGAGAGGTTGAGGAAATTAGGTGAGTAAAACAGTAAACATTTTTTTCAAAGACAAAGCTGTGTACCTAATTTCGATTCAGACCATCAGTGGACAAAAAAAAATAAAAAGGATGAGAGGTGGGACAACAGGATTTTATATCAGGATCAGAGTTTGGGAGTTTGTGGACAATGAGATTGCACAGATCCCCAAATCTGCATGAAATAGCTGCCTTTGGTCACTCTGGCTCAGATTCTTTGGGGGAGAAATTTCTCTTTGGACGTGGCACAACACAGGATATACATCACTAACCCATGCCATAAAAGTCCATCCAGGAAATCAACACAAATAAGAAGCTTAATGCCACTTCTAAATGAGTTAATTTTCAACTGAGAGTGAAGTAAAGACATTTCAACACCTTGGCCAAGATTTTCGAAGGGTTGCAGGGCTGCAATTTCCTGCTGCCAGACAGCTTGATGGTATGCCATCATTTTCCTGCTTCATGGCTATCCACCCACAGGCAGCAGATTGATGTTTAGGCCACCTAAAAAGTCTATTAAGGCCACTCTCCAGTCATTGACTGGCATGTAGGCATCCCTATTCTGAGCCAAAAGCCTGGCTGGAGGATGGATGCAGCCTCCTGGCAGTACAACAGGGCCTGCACTGTGAAAGAAATGTGAACTGAGTTAGATCAGAAAGCATAGGAGGATGTTTAGGCTGATTATACTGCAGTGACTGGTTACGGCAAATGGTCTGCTTCTGTGCCAGATGTTTAAAATATGCAAAAAGTGGAAATTAGTATCCAGGCACATGCAACTGTGAAGTGAAATGATATGTGTACCCTAAGGTAGGGCTCTGATGATTTATGCTGTATTTATATTGCAAAGGATGGATGCTTGAGATCTGAAATAAAAACAGAAATTGCTGGAAAAAAACTTAACAAGTCTGGTTGTATCTGTAGTGACAAAGCGTTAACATCTTAGTCACTCTGGACTTGAAGTACTAACTCTTTTTATCTCCACATAAATATAGCCAGACCTGCTGCATTTCTCTAAAACTTGGTGTTTTTCGTTTAGAACAATTCTTAATCTACATTTCCACAGATGAATGGAATCATCTATAAACAAAAGAGTGTAACTAAGTTCCTACTAAATGCCTTGGGAAGCAAAACAGCAAGTAAAATAATTTGAACCAATTTCCACCTACATTGTGCCTGCAGAACACTCGGAGCAAGTTTCTGCCAAACGATTACTTTCCACATACTTATAGAGGTTTGCATCATGCAGGCACCGTTTGTATTGGAATGACATTGGCACGTTTGTTATTTCACAGCAGTCGAGCAGGGAGCAGTTCCCATAAAATTCCTGGTTACTGCAGGTGAAAATAATGGAGCTTCAAATACATTGTATAGTTCCCCATTAAAGTTAAAGACACCATGGTTTAACAGACCATAGGGTTGCTTTCTCATTAGAGAGAGATGACCAACCATGGTTTAACGCTGAGGGTCATCCTGCCTCAAACAAGGGGAGAGGTTGAGATGAAGAGTCCTTCATAGTAACCTCAACTGGTGCAAGAATTAAATTCACACTGTTGGCAGCACTCTGCATTGCAAACCAGCCATCCAGCCAACTGAACTAACTGGAACTTTGTTATTCAGTAAAACATATTGAAGGTACAAGTCAGGACTGTGATATGAACGCTGGCATGGATGGGTGCAGTTCCAACAATACTCAAGGAGCTCAACAGTACCCAGAACAAACTAGCCCACTTAATTGGAATCCCATCCATCACCTTAACATTCATTACCTGTACTACTAAGGCACAGTGGCAGCAGTGTGTATCAGCTTAAGAAGACACTGCAGCAATTTGCGCAGGTTCCATTGACAGCATCTTCTAAATTTAAGATCTCTTACCATGCAGAAAGACAAGAGCAGTGGATACACAGGAACATCACCAACTGCAAGTTCCCTTTCCTACTGCACACCATCCTGACTTTGAACCTACTGTTGCTGGGTCAAAATCCTGGAATTCCTTTCCTAACAGCACTGTGGGTGCACCTACACCACGTGGGCTGCAGCAGTTCAAGAAGGACGCTCTCCACTACCTTCCCAAGGGCAATTAGGGATAGGCCATAAATAGGAAATAGGCCCAACCAGCAACACCCAAATCACATGAACAAATAATCAAAAACTTACCCATCCAGACTTCTCCAAACTGTCCAGCGCCCAATTTAGTTAACATCGTCAAGGATTCTCTTGGGATTTCCCACTCATCAGGCCACCATGGCTTCTGAGGAGTGAGCATTGGGCATGGTTTAGTCAGACGTTGGCATAAACCATCTGAATTTTCTAAAGAAATAAAATAAGTGGTCAATCAATAAGAGCAAGCCTATAGAATCAGAATGAAATTCTTGTGTTAATAGCTGATTTACTTACTTGAATAATAGTAAACAAGTTTTTGTAAATTAGGGAATGTGGCTCTGGGAGTGATATAATAACCACCAGTGTCAAGGGTTCTAATCTTGTAGTGCTTCACTATATCACCATGTCTAGAGTCACAGTCCCTCACAGAAAGTGAAAAGCCACCTATATATGATAGTGAAAGAGAAAGTTAAACCATTAGTGAATTAAACATAACAAAATAAAGTTTGTCTTATACAGCTCTTTCCACGACCTTGGCATTTCCCTTACTTGAAAATCATTTAATCACTTTCTAAGTACTTTTGAACTATACAGCCAGATTATCATAGAGATTCTTTAAAAATGACAGGCAGAACCCAGATCCAGAAGTCCTACCACCATCTAATGACAGATCACTTTTTTTGCTGGGGGAGGAGAGAAGGTGAGATGAGATTCACATATAATGGAAATGCAAAATCTATAAGGCTATTTGAACTCAGTGCTGAGGTGAGAGTGTTACAACTTAACGACGGTTGACTGCTTAAATTAACAGCATAGTGAGATTTAACATGTTTGGAGATCAGTAAAGGCAAAAAAAATTGAAATATCAAATTTACATAATCTTAAAATAATCTTTCCACCAATTAGGGAATACCTGCAAAATGCTCAGTTCTCATTAATTCCCCATCTCAACCCAAAGGCGTGCAAAATGTGAGCTTTTCTAACAATCACACAAAAGAGAGATTAGCAGAGAAAACTGCAGAGAAAAAATTCAGGTGAAATATTCATCAATATTTCAAGCCTGTCCATTTTTTATTACAGCTTGGATGTAGAATTTGAATTTCTATCTAATAAAGTAGCAGTATGGCTCACAGAAAATTTACTAACAATCTTCTATCACTTGTTCCCTGAAAATTGTTTTTTATTGTGAACCAATTGCAGATCTGGCACAAAGTAAATCTCATATTAAACTTTCACATACAATCTGTATAAAGCAAATTCATATATTACCAACCTTTATTAGTTTCACTCTCTCGGATTAGAAAAGATCCTAACTTATTGCCTGGTGCTAACAATTGCCTCTCAGCATCTTTGCGGGTTATTTCTCTGAAGAACCATCTGAAAGTTAGTAAATAGGATACATTTAATGCATCTTTAGCTTGAGGATCTTCTCCCCTCTTATTGTTTATGGCATTGAGAAAAACCCACCTAGCTGATTGACAGCAGACAGCATTATTTTGTTAACATCTCCCAATAGAGATGGTAGCAAAGAGGGCAAGTAACAAAATGCTCAGATCTTGTAATATGCATTTCCTGCCCATTTAAAAAAATGCACATTAAAAATGTAAAATATGGCAGGTATATAATTTTACAGGCCACAATATTAACCCTATCTGAATTTTAACAGATTGGATATTTGCTGCTTTAATTACAACTAACACATAACAAACATGACCAATATCACCAAAATAGATTACATGAAGCTTTTCCTTAACATTACCACAGACGCCCTTCAGGAGTATAGACAGAGTAAGGGGCTGCTTAAAAAAAGAAAGTAAGAGGGTAAAGAGTAACTATGAAATATTTTTGGCAGATAGGATTAAGAAAATCCCCAAGGCATTTTACAAGTATATTAAGAGCAAGAGGATTACCAGGGAAAGAGTGGGACTCATTAGAAACCAATAGGGCAACCATGTGGGGAGTCAGAGGATGTCTTACATGATGTGAGATCTTAAATGAATGTTTCTCATCTGTATTCACAGAGGAGAAAGACATTGTATCTGGAGATTTCAGTTAGGATGGTGAGGTTCTAAAGCATGTTAAGATTAATAAGGAGGAGGTATTAAATGTTTTAGTGGGCATAAAGGTGCACAAAACCCCAGGACCTGATGAGATGTATCCTGGTCTGCTATTAACTGCTGTACTTACATATTAGCTTTCTGCAATTCATGCCCAAGGACACCCAGATTCCATCGTACCAAATCACTCTGAAATCTTATTCCATTTTGATAAGTTGCCTTTCTATTCTTCTGACCAAAATGGATAACCACACTTATTCACATTAAATTCCATCTGCCAGATTTTAGTCCATTCACCTAATCTATCCAAATCCATTTGTAAATTTCTTTTTTTTTTCACTTCCCACCTGTTCAGATTCACTTGCAAATTTGGCAATCCCTACATCCAAGTTATTAACATACATTGTAAATAGTTGTGGTACGCCTCTCATTACATCTTGCCAACCAGAAAAGACCCAAGTATCCAGCCGGTCTGCTTCCTATTGGTTAGCTAATTGTCTATCCATGCTAATAAATTACACCCAATGCTTTCTAAGTTTGCAATGTGACTGTTGTGCTTCATGGTCACTGTGTCAGTATACCTTTAAGAGATATGTTCATTGCTGAGACATGTCATCATTGTGTCATAGTATTTAACTTGAGCATATAAAGATCTCATATCTCATTTCACCCCAGATCACTCGAAGCATGACATTTTGATTCGAACGTGCCATATGTGGTCTGTTCCACCACAGTGGGTGTAATTTTAATCTTCTCAATTGTGACCTATACCAATTCTTTCCATTGGCAGAATTACATGTACTATACAAGCTTATCTCGACTTACTAAAATCTTCTACTTAGTGGATAACAAGGGCCCAGCAATGGCAGGATTTCCAGTATGCATAGAAAGTGATATCGTCGCAATTCACGAGTTTCTAACCACAACAATTGTGGTGGAACAGACCACAAGAGACACAGTCAAATCGGTTAGTGAACATGAATAATATGACTTTGAAGTGGATAAGCCAGATCCAGGATGATTATGTTGGCCATGCTGAGCAGATTATGCAACTCACACAAGGACCAATATATAATCTTTTTCTCACATGTTGATGCTCTTGACTATGGAGTTTAAAATGTTCTCAAGGTTAAACTGTTTGTTACACTTTGGCCAGAGCAGTTGCAATCAAGAACTGCTAAAGCTCAGTAACTACAAAAGTTCCAAAAGATCATTATCCATGGATGGCCTGACAGTATTAAAGATTTTTTTGAGAAGATTAGTTCATTTTGACCATAGAGAGACAATCTTGGCATGTCACAAGTCATTTCAAGGGCAAACGAGACAAAATACGAGAAACATTATACCAAGATATCATATCCATATTATAACAGGGACATGTGTATTGGGTCCTGGGATATTAAATGACTAACAAGTGCATGTGAGGCATGCCAAATGTAGCAACCTCAATAGTAGAGGGAGCCTCTCCATCCACAATGTTCCATCCATTTCTTGGATGTAAGGAGTAGCAGACCTATTCACAGGGCACAGGGAAGTCTACACGCTTGTGACAGATTACTTCACTAAATTTACCATTGTTTTGGCAACACAGTGAGCATGATCATCACTAACACATGAACGCTGTTTTCAACTTATTTAGGGTCCCAGATCAGGTAGTGTCTGATAATGCATTGAAGTACAAAAGCAAAACGTTTCAAGACATGGGTACTAACTGGAGAATTATGCATATTATGTCATCATCTGACAATTCCTGTTCAAATGGTCTAGCAAACCAAATTGTATATACCATCGAATTAATGATCATTAAGTGTTAATCAATGACACAAGGCTTTCACACTGTATTGCTGCATTTTTGTGCAATCCCCATGGAGAAGGGGTTATTGTTCCAGTGCAACTTATGCTCAGAAGGCTAGTGTGAATAAACTTGCCCAGAAACTAATTGTCTAACCATTCCAAGACATGGGATATTCTGCTTAAATGACAGAAGGAAATTCAAGTGATGCACAATGAGTGAGTAGATAGAGAACCACCAAATATCTGCACCGGACAGACAGTGAGAGTTTGAAACCTACCTCACCTATGCCAATTGACAGTACCTTCCATTCCTTTTCTCCTTGTATATTTATCTAGATTCCCACTAATTATGAGGGAATCTAATCACTCTCTCGTATCATACATAACACAAGGGATGGTTAGGTACACCTGACAAACTTGCATAGTTCAAATATGTCTGTGTGAATCTACAGTTCAGCCACAACTATAATTGTGACAAAGAATTTATGCCCAAAACATTATCTTCATTTCTTATGTTAGATGCTAATGGATCTGCTGTGGATTGCCAAATTTTCTGGTATATTTTTGTTAACTTATGGTCTTATTAGACTGCACATAAATTGAAGAAAATCCCTGAGGGACATCAGATGTAGTTCATATAGTGAGACTGACACAAAACTTACAAACAGTAAACTAAATTGTGGCTTCTTTACAAATAGACATATTCAAATTTCATAGAGATAGTAGGAAATGCTGATGCTGAGATAACAAGGTGTAGAGCTGGATGAACACAGCAGGCCAAGCAGCATCAGAGGAGCAGGAAAGCTGACATTTCAGGTCTAGACCCAAAACATCAGCTTTCCTGCTCCTCTGATGTTGCTTGGCCTGCTGTGCTTATTCGAATTTCATACCTTCATAGGTCTTCTAATTCTAATATTTGCAGTGAATCTTCAAATAACCTTAAATGATTTTAACTCTTCTGGCCCAAGAACGGAAACAGTAATACCAAATTTTTTAAAATTGCTAAAATGCTCCACAATGATAAATTGATAATAAAATTGTAAATATTTACTTTTCCACTTCTAATGAAGCCACCCTTGCTAGAAAGTTACTGGGGACAAATCCTTCTTTGCCAGAAACCAATGACCTTGCCTTCCACCAATCTCCTTGTCTGGGAAAAAAAAATGTGAGAACAATTGAGTCATTTTTGGAATTACTATGAAAACAGTGAAGTGTGTATTATTAGACTATTCATCTATGAAGTTAATGTTAATATTATCTTTTCATGGTCTTAATATTTGCAACAGATACTTTGGTGTAATTTGTTGTGCATTTTTGTAAAATTAATCCTCCAGGATATCTTTTAAAACATTAAGCAAACATCTGAGGGTGTTTATATTTATGCCATAAATCTTTGTTCTTCAAGCCTCTGCAGATAAGGCATGTTTTGATTCATTTGACTCCACTGTGAGTTGCTAAGCAAACTGTTACTTTATAAAATTTATGGCCACAATACACCAATACTTGCACAGGTGGACTCGAGGTTAGTGCCAAACATCACTGTCCTTCCTCCATTTCCTATTTTCTCTTAGTATAGCATTTTATATTTAATCTCTCAGCAGTAAAATGTTCTGGGTACTTAATCTACACAATGAAACTAAAACACTGCCAAGTAACAAGTCAACAATTTAAAATAAGTAAAGTACTTTTTTTCTGAAAATCTAAATTTAAGTTTTAGAAGTACATGCAATTATACAATTGACAAATACACACCAGCTCATATTTTTGAAGCACAGCAGGGGCAGTTTGTTGTTTTCTATGTTGGATTATATGTGACCATGTGTAACTGAATCTGATACTAGCAGCAAGAAGTAGGAATAAGATGGCTCATCATTTTCTCTAGAGATTCACCTTGATCATTTTCACCTTAGGGTGGCACGATAGCTCAGTGGTTAGGACTGCTGCCTCACAGTGCCGGGGCCCAAGTTCAATTCCGGCCTCAGGTGACTGTCTGCACAGAGTTTGCATATTCTCCCCAGGTCGGCCTTTTGGGGCTCTGGTTTCCACCCACAGGCCAAAGATGTGTGGGTTAGGTGGACTGGCCATGCTAAATTGCCCATAGTGTCCAGGAATGCGCTAGCTGGATTAGCCATGGGAAGTGCAGGATTAGGGGAGTGGGATACTCTTTGGAGAGGTGGTGTGGATTCAATTGGCTGAATGGCCTGCTTCCTCGCTGTAGGGATTCTATGATTGGTAAAATGACACGTTATATGGGGTTCATTTTCTTGTCTTAAGCATTGACATTAAATGAACTGTAGGTTCATACAGGAAGGGTTCATCCTGCCTAAACCACCTTCCATTAGAACATCTTTGTAGAATAAAGCATTTCACTTAATAACAGTAGCTATAAAACCAAGTAGTATCATACAAGGACATAGAGAATCTGACCAATGCATTCTTCTTAATTAATGTGCTGACCTCAAAGATAAAAGAATGTTGCCCACAAAGATCTTATGATCTCCGGACATGGACGTCACCTTTGCTAAGATTACTTTGAACTTGGTGGTACACCAAGGAGATCTCCAGGCATCCAACAACATTATTTCATCCTATCAGAGCAACTAATCAAGCTGACCAATTTTCAGTCAGTAAATCAGAAAGTTAATTGCATTGATTGTCTTTCATTGTTTTTCTAAATTTTGCCAAGAGCAGAATAAAAATTAGAGCATACAAATTATAATATGAAATAGCATAAAGTTTAAAAAAAATTAGAACTGTTGAATTCTATCCTTCTGAAAACACTATATTGCACAGAGAGATACTTTAGAAGTAGTTATAGCATAGTATTGCTGTTAAAAACCCAGTTACTCTTCAGTGATAAGAATTAAAGTTTTGGGGGAATCTTACGAGTGATATTGCAACGTTAGAAGGGAAGTTCTCATCAGTTTAATGATTTTTAAAAGTTGATGGCTGTGCATATATTGTGGAGGAGCAAGGAATCATTGCCAACATCATCTGGATTTCTGTGTTTAATTCAGTGCTCCACAAATATTTTCTCACTGTGACCCTATTCTGAGGCTTGAAATCTATTGCAATCCTTAAGTAAGCAAGGGGGAGAAGGAGAAGACTTACTAAAGTAGAGGGGAGAGGAAGCTCAGCCATTGCTGCCTTGTGGCTTGGAACCACAAAATTTCAGTTCACAACCCCACTTTGGGAACCCTTGCTATAACTATTCATGCACTGATGCCGGAAGTTGTTTTCCAGTTGCAACAATGGTGACTGCAGACAGTTTTGCTGTCATTCCACTGCAAAATCTGGGCCAATATTTTTTTCCTAATTGTACTGTATAAATACCACATTCATAACTAATGCAGCAATATTGTCTGATAGAATTAGTAAAACTTCCGGAATTCACTAGCAGTAGCATGCATTGTATGGAGTAGCTCACGTCAGAAAGGCGAAGGAATAGTTGCTTCTATTTAACCAAAACTAAAAATTACTTACTCTGTTATGACAATAAATTGTTCTCCTTTCTTTAATCTTAGATCACGTTCACTTGTTGGTTCATAGTCATACAACGCTACAACTCTCTTCTCATCTGGAAGATAGGGCATTAAGTTGAGTTGTTAAGTGATTTGCTGTTCCACTGGCAAACAATTCTAGTATCCAGTTTGTTAACAAAGTTGTTCTACTTTTTCTTCTAACAACCCTTTTGACATCTCACATGGGGTTCTCCCATGGCTCACTACTTCAGACTTGACCTTCGGTTGTCACAAACTTTACTCACTAGCAAAATTAAACATAGAATGACAGCTTGGAAATTTGGTGGTTAAGTTAGTTAAAATATCAATAAAAATCACACTTGTAACATTCAAACAGATGTCGAATATTTTGGGGGATTGACTTTATGAGGAATGGATTGCGCTGTTAATTTCACCCTACAGGCTCCCTTCCCCCATTTATTTATTCAGCTTCTTATTCAATTTATTTAACAAATCTCAGACCAAGAACTTTGCTTCATTTGCTGGTCGATTATGATGATGTCATCTCCGATTCTAGCACTAAAACAAACAAATTGGAAATTGTCACTACTTCCTTGCAGGACATTTAGACCCTAAATTATTAGTCATGGCATTGAAGCTTGCCAGGAGACAGTGCAAGAAGAAGCCTTAAACCAAATAAATGTAATTTAAGAGAAAAAGGGCTAAATCAGCCCAAGGTATGTCGAGTTCTGTAATGTCTGATTCCGTTCCCATCTTTCCACACTGTTCCCAAGGCAGCTCGCCAGTCAGGGGATATCTGCCAAGAGGCTGGTATCCCTCTGTCTATGCCATCTTCAAACGGCTGCTGTGACTCCACCCCCTCACTCAGGGAGTAATAACATTCCAAAGCAGCCATACTCAGTTATGGACAGATTCTGAACATGTTTGACAATAGGAAGATGGCACTGTGATGCTCTGACAAGAGGTTAGGTGGATTGGCCATGCTAAATTGCCCATTGTGTCCAGGGATCTGAGACAACAAGGTGCAGGGCTGGATGAACACAGCAGGCCAAGCAGCATCATAGGAGCAGAGAGGCTGACGTTTCGGGCCTAGACCCTTCATCAGAAAGGGGGGAGGGGAAGGGGGTTCTGAAATAAATAGGGAGAGAGTGGGAGGCGGATAGAAGATGGATAGAGAAGAGGATGGGTGGAGAGGAAACAAACAGGTCGAAGAGGCGGGGATGGGGCCAGTAAAGGTGAGTGTAGGTGGGGAGTTAGGGAGGGGATAAGTCAGTCCAGGGAGGACGGACAGGTCAAGGGGGCAGGATGAGGTTAGTCGGTAGGAGATGGAGGTGCGGCTTGAGGTGGGAGGAGGGGATAGGTGGGAGGAAGAACAGGTTAGGGATGCAGGGACGAGCTGGACTGGTTTTGGGATGCGGTAGGGGAAGGGGAGATTTTGAAACTTGTGAAATCCACATTGATACCATTGGGCTGCAGGGTTCCCAAGCGGAGTGTCCTGGGATCTGTAGCTTAGGCGGATTAGACCTGAAATACAGGGATATGGTAGGGGATGGTTCTGGTGGGTCATTGTGGGCGCGATGGGCTGAAAGGCCTGCTTCCACACAGTAGGGATTTTATGACAAGGACCTGGAGGTTCTGTTGGATGGGGTGATGGAGAGGAGACCTGTCAACCTCCAGGAGAATGGGCAGAGGATGCACCATCACGAGACCCTAACAACGTCACCTGAGGTCATCCACCCAACTCATTTCCATCTCAACAGTCCAGAGGAATGCATGGCAGTGTCATAAGAAAGACTTTACTGCAATTTCAGGGTAAGTTCTAAACTCTGCTCTCTGCCACCTCAGACTCACTCTATGTTGGCTACTATAATCACCTTCCATTAAGAAACATGTCCCCATGGGCTTCAGAAAGCTATTCCAGCACACTGTCACAGGAAGTTCAGTGGGAATCTATCAGAATGGCCAGAATTTAATAAGACTATAGACTTTGGATCCATAAAAAGTAAAAGCAAGAGTAAAACGTTCAGGACTTTGGGCATGCTCCACCATTCAATGATATCATGACTGTATGGGTTACAGCCTAGCACAACTTTCTTGCCTGTCCCCCATAACACTTGACTCCGTTGTCAATTAAAAATCTGTCTGACTCAGTTTTGAATATACATATTCAATGACACAGCTTCTGCTGCTCTCTAGGAAACAGAATTCCATTAAAGTTGATAACACTCCAGAGACGAAATTCCTTCTTTGCTCTATCTCAAACAGGAGAGCACCTATTTTCAAACTGTGCCCCCTGTTTAGATTCCACTATGAAACATTCTACCAGGAAACATCTCTCAGCTTCTCATCTGTCTAGATCCCTCAGAATTTTATATTTCATTAATATGAGCTCTGATACTTCAAAACTCTCCCAAGAATGCGTCCAATCTGCTTAACCTTTAAGACAACCCCATCATCTGAGGAATCTGTCCAGTGAGCCTTCTCTAATTACAAGGCAAGTCTATCCTTCTGGAAGTAAGGAGATCAAAAGTCTACACAGTACTGCAAGCATGGTCCTACCAATGTCCTGCACAGCTGTAGCAAGACTTCCAACTTTTATCCTCTATCCTTTGCAATAAAGACCAACATTCCATTTCCTAATTGTTTGCTATATCTGCATGCTGATGTTTTGTGGTGCGTGTTCAGGCAAGACCTGATCCCTTTGTACAGAATTACAGTATCTCTCTATTTAAATAATGTTCTGCTTTTATCTTCTTCCTACGAAACTAGGCAACCTCATATCTTCCCACAATAAATTCTATCTGCTTTTGACATTGCAGGAATTCCTATTTGGTTTTGTAAAGGATAAAAGCCAAGATAAGCAAGCTCAGCCTCTCAGCTAGTGGAGTCAGAAGCATATCAAACTGTTGAACAGTGGATCTGAGAATTATCCTTTGCATTCAGGGATGTGGACTGTATTTATTCAGCCAGGATTTAGTTCCCATTCTGAGTTGCATTTGAGAAGACAGTGCTGAGCTGCTTTCTTGAACCACTGCAGTCCATTTGCTGCAGGAACACTTACAGTGATGTTGTGGAGGGAATTCCAGGATTTTGATCCAGTCACAGTGAAGGAACGGCAATATATTTCCCAGTCAGGATGGTGAGTGACTTGGAGGGGAACTTGCTCATCAAGATCTTATGTATTTGTTGTTCTTGTTCTTCTAGATGGTTTGGTCATAGGTGTTGTCTCAAGAGCCTTGGTGAAGTTCTCCTTCTAGAAGGCTAGAAGGCCTCTAAAGAGGTCCTTGAAATCAGTTTGAAGATGTTACTTCTACTTCATTTACAAAGTAAGCCACCAGGAGCAGTTTTCAGCACCCCATCATTTCCACGCTAACCTTTGGACAGATTGGCTTCACGAACAAAAACCAAAAGAACTGCAGATGCTGGAAATCAGGAACAAAAACAGAAATTTCTGGAAAAGCTCAGCAGGTCTGGCAGCATCTGTGAAGAGAAATAAGAGTTAACATTTTGGGTCCAATTATGAGGAAGGGTCACTGGACCTGAAACATTAACTCTGATTTCTCTCCACAGATGCTGCCAGGCCTGCTGAGCTTTTCTAGTAATTTCTGTTTTTGTTGGCTTCACTAGCAGTAAACACCTTATCTACAACCCCAATGGTCAGCTGTCATTGATATAGCGAGCAAGGACCTTGTCCTGACCCCATGGAAATTAATGGAATCGGGGTGCAGATCCCACACAATGCATATCTCTGCACTTATAATAGCATGTACCAAGTACACTGCAACAATTTAAATGCACGTTGCTAGTTGTATAAAAATCATTTCAGGCAAACAAAAGGAGAAGAAAAATAAATGTGAAAGTGAGAAAGAATGATGGGGGCCTCACAGTACCCAAACTACACTTGCCCCTTTTTTTGAATCACCCAAGGTTGCAAGAGGGCTCTTGTGAAGACCGGGGTTCATGGCCCACCTGCTCCAGAATTATGTTATAACATGTCTGAACAGGACGATTTTTTAAAAATCTACAAAATTGTAAATGTAAGTTAACCAAGGCATATAACCAATGTTAATGTTACTTACATATAAGTCACTGAATAATAGTATTCCCTGCAATTAAAAACCAGGGAATCAATACAACTTGGAGTCCTGAATTGAATAAATATATCAAAGAACCCTGAAAGCATTTACTTATAAGCAATAAGCTTGTTTGGAGTGTTTCCTAGAAAATGGTTTAACGACCATTGCAGCAATACTTAATGATACAAAGGGTATTCATTTTAATTTGCTTTCTTTGTTCTGGACTGGCAGTGACAACTGACCATGACATCTTGTTTAAGGTATTTACTGATCATTCATAATGTCTTCACACTGCCCTGCTATCACAAACAACATTATCTTAAAACAAATAAAACTGGGCTAGTTCAATCACAGGAAATTATTGGGTAATCGATAAGGAACATTTAATGTTGTCTATGAGACAGAACCATGAAATTAAGCCTTAAAGTAAAACACTAATTTTTCAACATCATCAAAAGCAATCCAGCAAAGTTGTAACTATTGAATTCATGGTGCAGATTCCCTAACCAATGCAATGTTTTGGTAAGACAAACCATGGCAGGACTTACACAGTTAATGGTAGGGCTCTAGGTAGAGTTGTCAAACAGAGACTTAGGGGTGCAGGTACATAGTTCCTTGAAAGTGGTGTCATTGGTAGACGGGGGGATGGAGGCGATGTTTGGCAAGCTTGCCTTAATTGGTCAGAGCATTGACTACAAGAGTTCAGACATCATGCTGTGGCTGTACAAGACATTGGTAAGGCCACATTTGGAGTGCTGCATACAATTCTGATTGCCCTGCTATGGGAAGGATATTATTAAACTGCTAAGGGAGCAAAAGAGATTTACCAGGATGTTACCAAGACTAGAGGGTTTGAGTCATAAGGAACATAAGAACATAAGAACTAGGAGCAGGAGTAGGCCATCTGGCCCCTCGAGCCTGCCCCACCATTTAATAAGATCATGGCTGATCTTTTTGAGACTCAGCTCCACTTACCCGCCCACTCACCATAACCCTTAATTCCTTTATTGTTCAAAAATTTATCTAGCCTTGCCTTAAAAACATTCAGCGAGGTAGCTTCAACCACTTCACTGGGCAGGGAATTCCACAGATTCACAACCCTTTGGGTGAAGAAGTTCCTCCTGACCTCAGTCCTACATCTGCTTCCCTTTATTTTGAGGCGATGCCCTCTAGTCCTAGTTTCACCTGCTAGCGGAAACAACCTCCCTGCCTCCACTTTACCTACTCCCTTCATAATCTTATATGTTTCTATAAGATCTCCCCTCATTCTTCTGAATTCCAATGAGTATAATCCCAGTCTACTCAGTCTCTCCTCATAATCCAACCCTCTCAACTCTGGAATCAACCGAGTGAATCTCCTCTGCACCTCCTCCAGTGCTAGTATATCTCTTCTCAAGTAAGGAGACCAAAACTGCACACAGTACTCCAGGTGTGGCCTCACCAGGACCCCATACAGCTGCAGCATAGCCTCCCTGTTTTTAAACTCCATCCCTCTAGCAATGGCAGACAAAATTCCATTTGCCTTTTTAATTACCTGCTGCACCTGCAATCCCACCATCAGCGATTCATGCACAAGGACACACAAGTCCCTTTGCACAGCAGCGTGCTGCAATTTTTTACCATTTAAAACATACTCCATTTTGCTGTTATTCCTACCAAAATGGATGACCTCACACTTATCAACATTGTACTCCATCTGCCAGACCTTTGCCCACTCACCTAGACTATCTAATATCCCTCTGCAGACTTTCAGTGTCTTCTGCACACTTTGCTCTACCACTCACCTCAGTGTCATCTGCAAATTTTGACACACCACACTTAGTCCCCAACTCCAAATCATCTATGTAAATTGTAAACAATTGAGGTCCCAACACTGATCCCTGAGGGACACCACTAGCCACTGACCGCCAACCAGAAAAACACCCATTTACCCGTAATCTTTGCTTTCTACTGGTCAACCAATCCTCTATCCATGCCAATACATTACCTGTAATACCGTGCAACTTTATCTTATGTATCAGCCTTTGGTGTGGCACCTTGTCAAATGCCTTCTGGAAATCCAGATACACCACATCCACAGGTTCCCCATGGTCCACCATGCAAGTAATGTCCTCAAAGAATTCTACCAAATTAGTTAAACATGACCTACCCTTCATGAACCCATGCTGGGTGTTCCCAATGGGACAATTTATGTCCAGATGTCTTGCTATTTCTTCCTTAATGATAGATTCAAGGATTTTCCCCACTACCAAAGTTAAGCTAACTGGCCAACAGTTACCTGCTTTTTGTCTACTTCCTTTTTTAAACAGTGGCGTCACATTAGCTGTTTTCCAATCTGCGGGAACCAACCCAGAGTCCAGTGAATTTTGGGAAATAATTACTAGTGCATTTGCTATTTCCCCCATCACCTCTTTTAGCCCATCAGGGCCAGGAGACTTGTCTACCTTTAGCCCCATTAGCTTGCCCAGCACTGCCTCCTTAGTGATAATGATAGTTTCTAGGTCCTCACCTGCTATAACCTTCTTGCCATTAGTTTTCGGCATGTTATTTGTGTCTTCCACTGTGAAGACTGACGCGAAATAACTGTTTAATGTCTCGGCTATTTCCTCATTCCCAGTTAATAAATTGGCCTTCTCGTCCTTGAAAGGACCAATGCTTACCTTCGCCACTCTTTTACGACTTACATATTTATAGAAACTTTTGCTGCCTGTTTTTATATTCTGAGCTAGTTTACTCTCATAATCTATCTTACTTTTCTTTATAACTTTTTTTGTGGCTTTCTGTTGGCCTTTAAAGATTTCCCAGTCTACTAGTTTCCCACTACTCGTTGCTTTTTTGTATGTGTTTTTTTTCAATCTGATACTTTCCTTTATTTCCTTAGACATCCATGGCTGGCTCTCTCTTTTCCTACAGTTCTTCCTTATCACTGGAATATACTTCTGCTGAGCACTGTGAAAAATTGTTTTGAAAGTCCTCCACTGTTCCTCAATTGACCCACCATAAAGTTTTTGCTCCCATTCTACCTTAGCTAGCTTCTTCCTCATTCCTTCATAGTCTCCTTTGTTTAAGCACAGGACATAGATACTGGATTTAACCTTCTCACGCTCCATCTGTATTTTAAATTCGACCATATTGTGATCGCTCCTTCCAAGAGGATCCCTAACTGTGAGTTCATTAATTATTCCTGTCTCATTACACAGGACTAGATCTAGGATAGCTTGCTCCCTCATAGGTTCCATTACATATTGTTCAAGGAAATTATCGTGGATGCATTCTATGAACCCTTCCTCAAGGCTGCCATGACCGACCTGGTTTGACCAATCGATATGTAGATTAAAATCCCCCATGATAATTGCTGTACCATTTTTACATGCATTAGCTATTTCTATGTTTATTGCCTGCCCTACCATGATGTCGTTACTTGGTGGCCTATAGACCACACCTATCAGTGATTTCTTCTCCCTGCTATTCCTAATTTCCACCCAAATGGTTTCAACGTTTTGTTCAGTAGAACCTATATCATCTCTCACTACTGCCCTGATATCATCCTTAAAAATCAGAGCAACACCACCTCCCGTACCTTCTTGTATGTCCTTCCGAACACTTTGATAACCCTGGATATTTAACTCCCAGTCATGACCATCCTGTAACCATGTCTCTGTAATGGCCACTAAATCATACCCATTTGCCATGATTTGCACCGTCAACTCATCCACCTTGTTTCGAATGCTCCGAGCATTCAGATAAAGTGCCCTTATGCCAGTTTTTGCACCTTCTGTTTGGGTCCTATTACCTCCATTACTAACAGCTCTTGAGTTCTCCTTCCCTTTAACTTTTTTCCTGATTTTCAATGGAGTTGAAGCTTCCTCGTCACCTGCTAACCTGCTGCTTTGCCTTACGTTAATTGTTATTCTCCCTCTACACTCACTTCTCCCTTCCTGCCTAATTACTAGTTTAAAGTCCTATTAACCACCCTATTTACCCTTTTTGCCAGAACACTGGACCCGGCCCTGTTCAGGTGGAGTCCATCCCAGCGGTATAGATCCCTCCTGTCCCAGAACTGATGCCAGTGCCCCATGAAAAGGAAACCCTCTTTCCCACACCACTCTTTTAGCCACGTGTTTACTTCCCTGATCCTCGCCTCCCTATGCCAATTTGCACGTGGCTCGGGCAGACCTGTTTTTAAATTTTGTTCCTAGCTTTTCATAATCCCGAAACAGGTCTTTTTTCCTAGGCCTGCCTATGTTGTTGGTATCTACGTGGACCACAACAACTGGATCCTCCCCCTCCCTCTCTAGTATCCTCTCAAGCCGGTCAGAGATGTCTCGCACCCTGGCACCGGGCAGGCAACACACCATGCGGGATTCTCTATCCTGCTCGCAAAGGATACTGTCTATCCCCCGGATGATGGAATCATCTACAACTACAATCTGTCTTTTTGCTCCCCCCTCTTGAATGGCCTCCTGGACCATGGTGCCATGGTCAGTTGACTCATCCTTCCTGCAGCCCGCCGCAGGGAGCAAGTGCCTCATACCTGTGGGACAATGTCAAGGGCTGCGGCTCCTGTGTTCCTCTACCTGCCTCACTCGCAGTCACACACTGCTGTCCCTGCCTGCCGATCGAATTAACATTAGTTAATCTACCAGGTTTGACTGCCTCCTGGAACACAGCATCCAGGTATTTCTCCCCCTCCTGGATGTGCCGCAGTGTTTGGAGTTTGGATTCCAGCTCATCAATTTTGAGCCAGAGCTCCTCAAGCAGTTCTCAATGGGATCAGCTAGCTCCCACATCATACAGCTACAACACATCACCTGGCCTGCCATCTCTACTTAGTTAATTATTTAAAATTAGTCTTTTTTCCAGTTTCGCAGTGTTCGCTGCACCAGTAAGTTTACTCCGTTATATACTCAAACAGATTCCGTCTTTGCCTTCCGATCCGCTCCCAGAAGATTTGGCGTCTAGGTGACCACCCCGAAAGATAACAAAGAGATGAGGAAAAGAAAATGCAAATAGCCTCCCTGCTCACCACACTTAGTCGTTATTATTAGGTTAGAGGAGTTGGAAGGGTGGGAGACACTACGCGTGTAGTGTCTCGGGTATTAGTTAACTCCCAAATTTATTGGGTGGAAGCTTACCTTCCCAGGCTGCCCTCGCGCTTCCTCCCGGACTCCCGCTGCTGAAACAACTGAAAGGCCGCAGTCACGCGAGGTAAGACTTTTATAATCGAAAAGCTTACCTTTCCAGGCTGCCCTCGCGCTTTCTCCCGGACTCCCGCCGCCGAAACAACTGAAAGGCTGCAGTCACGCGAGGTAAGACTTTTATAATCGAAAAGCTTACCTTCCCAGGCTGCCCCCACGCTTCCTCCCGGACTCACGCCACTGAAACAATGAAAGGCTGGATAGGCTAGGACATTTTTTCCCCTGGAGCGTAGGAGGCTGACGGGTGGCCTTATAAAAGTTTATAAAATCATGAGGAGCATAGGGAAGGTGAATAGCCCAGGTCTTTTCCCCAGGGTAGGGGAGTCCAAAACTACAAGGCATAGGTTTAAGTTGAGAGGGGAAAGATTTAAAAGGGACCTGAGGGGCAACTTTTCACACAGATGGTGGTGTGTATATGGAACAGGCTGCCTAAGGAAGAGGTAGAGGTGAGCACAATTACAAAATTTAAAAGTCACTTGAACGGGTACATGGATAGGAAATGTTTAGAGGGATATGGGCGAATTGAAGGCAAATGGGACAGGTTCAGTTTAGAAACCCTGATCAGCAAGCACAAGGAGGACTCAAGGTCTGTTTCCATGCTGTATGATTCTATGACTCTAAGTGAATGCTTACCTTGTAATTGCATTATGCCTCCCTGAGAAAAGCAATGTGGGATTCCCACCAGTTCTCCAGCTAGTGGATGGGATCCCCCATTGCCAACACTATCTTTGATAGTAATCTCACCCACTGCACCCAGTACACAAAGAAAGAGAAAACAATCTTACCCTGAGAGAATTCGAATGATGACATCTGATTATCAAACTGCACCTGCAAAATAAGCAATTAGTTTAATGGGAGAGGTCCTCAGTAAAATGATTTTATATTAAAAGAAGGCAAAATAAGCCAGAAGCTCCATTTGAGTAACTAAAATGGTCATGCAGAATAATCAAGAGGCAGTTATCATAGTTGCAATCTTATATCTAATGCTAAAACGTTGACAGGCAAAAGATAATCTAGTACTAAGAAAGAAAGAAAAAGAACTTGGATTTGTATAACACCTTTCACAACTTCAGGACATCCTAACGCACTTTACAGCTAATGAACCATTTTAGTAATGAACATACTGTTCTAATGCAGGAAATGTAGCAGCCAATTTACCTGCAAAAACATCCCGTAGATAGCACTGATATAATGAGTAGATAACCTGTTTAAATATGTTGGTTGAGAAATAGGTATTGGGCAAGCCACTGGAGAAAACTCCCATGCTCTTTTCAAAATAATACCATGGGATATTTTACCAGAGAAAGCAGCTTGTGCCGGTATTATGTGTTCAAATGACACAGTGCATCTTGAACCTACAGCCTTCTGACTCAAAGCCAAAATTCCTATTAAGGCCAATACTTATTGAGGGTTTGTGCAATTCACCTAAAAAAGGGTGAAATATCAGTAAAGTACTTTTTCTTTTATATAAATATTATCCAAAAAAAGGTATTTCATAAGATTTATATTTGTAATGGAGAATGAAAGAGGACTCCCATTTTATGCTAATCAAATAACTTCATTAAGTCAAACAAAATAGTCATAGGGCTGCTTTCTTTCTCTCCAAATGGAGGAAAAGCCAAGTTTCTTCTGTTTTCCCGACTTCAGTATCATTTCTGCGTAGCCTTCGCATAGATTGGGAAGCCCTGAGGTGCAAACACACATGCATTATGTCTGAAGTTGGAGTCCCCATTGTGAGATGTAAAGACTGTGTCTTTTTATTTTTCTGTATTTTTGATTGTGGACTGAAACGCAAAAGTAACTTTCATCACTAAGGATTGCTGAACGATGACTATGTGTTTTTGAAAAGAAGCAATCTGCACTGATTGCAGAGCTGCTGGTTCAAGCAGCAGGAGGAGAAGTTACAGATCAGCTACAGCCAGTAACAAGTAGCTGATTGGTTTGTGGATTGTGGTCAGTTATTGTTGACAAAGGCCTTCCGCCTGCCAACAAATATGTGATTGGTTTTCTCAGGTATCTGAATAGACGGAGGCTATGAGCAGGATTTCCACCAGCTCAGGAGCTGTGCCTGTTCTCTGCAGTGAAAGCTACTTGAAGTATAAAGAAAAACAATTTATTTTGCCTTCAGCAGCTTTCCTTCTGCCATAACATTTATTTTTCTTCCTGTTCTCAGTGTGTCTGTGCGTGTTAATGTATAAGAGGAGGTGTATGGGGGGTGGGATTAGAGTTTAAACTGGCAGAGTTATATGTCATCAGTTCATAATTGTTTACCTGTTGCTAGAGTATATTTACTTACAAAAATAATAATTCTTATTAAGTACAGAAACCTAGCCCTTGCTTTCTGTCAACCTTGGTCTGACAGTTAGGTAACTTGGGAAATTCTGCCTACTTTTTATATTCTTTAACTTTTGTGATGGTTCTGGGAATAGCTTCATATCCAACACATTACCCTAATGAGGTGTAACGGAGGGCCACAGGAAAATTGCATTTCCTCTCATACATTTTTATAAGATGATGCAAAGTTTTAGAAGGCCTAAAATAAATTTCTTACAGGTAAATTGCAGAATAAAGTTATTCCAATGACCTAAAGATGTTACTCAAACAAAATCAACAGTTGTTTAGTTTATCTGTTTGTCAAAACAAAAACCCCAACTAAGATAATCCACTTATGAGCTTGAGCTGTCGGCTAAACATGTATTACGGAAACAGGTGTGAGAACTCTTTCAATGGTGATGTTAAATTATTTCTGCAATATTTTTTGTCAAAGCATTGAAGATATGGTAATATCCCTACACTAGGAACCAACAACTTCAGACTAATATCCTAGGACATGATTTTAATTCCTACCTTAGCAAATGGTGAAATCTGAACTACAATAAAAATGTGCAATAAGCAGTTAATCTTATGACACTGTCAAATGTTACAAATATATATTTGGTTCCACTCATGTCATTTAGGGAAGGAAATCTGCCATCCTTGTGTGGTCTGGCCTACATGTGACTATAGACCCACAGTAATGTGGCTGACTGTTAACAATTCAGGATGGATAGTAAGTGCTGGCCATGTCCTGTAACTGAATACAAAGAAAATGTCTCAGTCTTTATTCATGCAACACTAGGAGGTGCAAAGAGTTTCAATCCTAGATGAGATGGAGTTCAATCTGAATAAATGCAAGGTATTGCATTTTGGTACAACAATGAGAGTAGGACTTATACAATTAATGGGAAGGCCTGGGTAGTATTGTAGAACAGAGGGACCTAGGGGTGCAGGTACATAATTCTTTGAAGTTTGCGTCATATATAGACAAAGTGGTTAAAAAGGGGTTTGGCAAACTTGCCTCATTGCCCAGTCCTTAGGCCCGAAACATCAGCCTCTCTGCTCCTATGATGCTGCTTGGCCTGCTGTGTTCATCCAGCCCTGCACCTTGTTGTCTCTTGAGTTGGGAAGTCATGTTGAGGTTGTACAATACATTAGTGACGCCTCTTCTGGAATACTATGTCCAGTTTTGGTTGCCCAGTTATAGGAAGCATACTATTAAGATGGAGAGGATTCAGAGGAGATTTACCTGAACGTTGCTGGGTATGGAAGGTTTGAGTTATAAAGAAAGGCTGAATAGGCTGGGATGTTTTTCGTTAGAGCATAGGAGGTTGAGAGGCGAACTTACAGAAGTTCATAAAATAATGAGGGGTAAAGATAGAGTTAATGATAGTTGTCTTTTCCCTAGGATGGGGGATTTCAAGATTAGGGGGCACATTTTTAAGGTGAGAGGAAAAAGATTTAAAAAAGACATGAAGGGCAAAGTTTTTACACAGAGGGATGTTCACATGCGGAATAAACTTCCTGAAGAAGTGGTGGATGTGGGTACAATTACAATGTTTAAAAGACATTTGGATAAGTACATGGATAGAAAAGGTTTGGAGGGATATGGGCTAGGAGCAGGCAGGTGGGACTAGTATAGTTTGGGATTATGTTCAGCATGGACTGATTGGACTGAAGGGTCTGTTTCCATGTTGTATGACTCTATGACTGTTACCATCTTCATTAGTTGCCACACTCTACGTTTGGAATTATTGGTAAATTTTGAAGTTTTACACTATGTCTCAATATTCACATAATTTTCATATATCAAACAAAAGAGGCATCCTGGCACTGATCGTTGGGGACACTACTGTCCACTCCCCTTCAATATAACAGTTGGCGTATAATAAAATGAAATAAATTGCATTTATATACACTGTAGTACTTCTCACATCCTCAAGATATTGTTCACAACCACTGCAGCACTTTTGAAGTATAACTTTGTATTGTAGGCAGGCTCATGAGCCGTAACATCACATAAACAAGAATAAGATCAATGTCCAGTTAATTTATTGTGTGAGATGTTGATTGAGGAATAAATGTTGACCAATTCATTAGGTTTCAGCTTAGCAGTTCTCCATTGGTAGAACATCTAAGAACTCCCCGCACTTTTTTTGCTAGAGCAACATGGGCTGTTTGGCACTCACCCATAGTTAACAAGCTATTTGTTTGTTATAATGTAGTCTTTTCTCAAGACTGTAATGGATAGAGTACAGAAGGACAAAGTAAAGTTTAGGATCCGCAATTCTCTAACTGAAAGCAAGAATGCTACTTCTGAAATAACATAGGCACCTATCAATACTAACAGAATATCAACACACTACTCATACTGATGCATTGCTAATTTGAAGTAGTAATGACAAAAAATAGAAAATAACATGACATGAATACAAAACAACAGACAGTATCAAAATGTCGAAAAAAGCTGAAAATGCAGGAACACAATGCGTTGTTCTTAGAGGAATGATAGATTAATTTTTAGGAGAGACAATTCTTCAACACACCAGAATAGAATACTCCCCAGTTGCCTGGATGAGTTCAGCTCCCATGATACTCCAGAAACTTGACACCATCCAGGACAAAGCAGCCTGCTTGATTGGCACCACATCTACAAACATCCACCAACGTTCAGTAGCAGCAGTGTGTACCATCTACAAGCAGCACTGCAGAAATTCACCAAAATCCTTAGGCAGCAATTTTCAAACCCATAACCACTTCCATCCAGAAGGAGAGGGGCAGCCAAAACATGGTAACACTACCAGATGCAAGTTCCCCTCCAAGCCACTCACCATCATGACTTGGAAATATATTGCCATTCCTTCACTGTCACTGGGTCAAAATCCTGGAATTCCCTCTCTAACAGCATTTTCAGTCAAGCCACATCAATGGATTGCAGTGGTTCAAGAAGGTGGCTCACCACTAACTTCTCAAGGGCAATTAGGGTTGGACAATAAATGCTCGTCCAGCCAGTGATGCCTGTGACCCATGAGTGATTAAAAGAAAACACTATAACTGGTCTATCTTCCTTTTCTGGTTGTGAACTGATCCATTGTGCATTTTCAGTATTTTTCTGCTATTATATAAACTCTTCTGTACTTTTCTTTAAAAATCTGAGTAAAAGTGGAGCACATTCTAGTTCTACTCACTTGCTGAAGTATAGTTTCACGGGGCAGCTGATTACTTTGGTCCTTGTGGGTAAAGCTGCGTCTTCCCTGTGCACTGCTGGTGGCACAGCCCATTCTTTCTGAAACAAAAGAAACAGAACATCAACTTGATCTCAATTTTGTGAAGCCCAAAGTCCTCCCCTCTTCCAGAAAACATGTTTTTCAATGAGTTAAAATTTTACAGCAATTAACATCCATCCACCTTCACCCAAACGACAGCTATTAATCTTAACAATAGCTATTCAATCATTTAGACCATGAGAGATGAGACTGATTTTCCATCATCTGAAATTCAAACCTGTAGCAGGGACCTTTAGAAAAATAGAAATATTTCCCAATGTGGACAGGATGTAGATTGGCTGTGAAGCCTCCATGCTCCAATCCCCACCTACAATTGTCACTCAGCCTACTGGTATCCATCATTCAGATTCACAGGTGATCACTATTAGGGGGCTATTCTTGCAAGAACTTAAACCATCACAATCGGAACCTGCCCCTGAAGAATGGAAAATTAGAGCAGAACTAAGTTAAAACTGAATTGATATTTCTTGAGTATCAACTCAATTAAATGACTGTAAATGGACAAAATCTCTTTAATCTGCTGCAGTTCTGATGAAGGGTCACTGGATCTAAACATTAACTCATTTTCTTCTACAGATGCTGCCAAAACTATTGTGTTTCTCCAACATACTGTGGTCGAGTTTCAGGCTCCGCCTCTTTGCGTTGGTTACTCTCCAAACATAAACATCACTTCCCTAGTAGTCCTCCCTTTCAACCCCAAAGGCTTTGCAATTCCCAAATTCCTACTCCACCCATATGTCTGCATCTGCACTTGCCCACTTTACACACTCCAGCTCCAGTCATTTCATGTAAACACGCCAGATGTGGTAGTGCTCCATGGAAACCAGGATGCTGCTACCATCAATGACCCCTTATTTTTATGACCTTTTTCTCTCCCACGTTGTATTGTCACCCCCATTATTTATTGAGTTGCCACCCTCCCCCATTTTAATATAGTAATTCTCTCTGCATCCCAGGAACCTGCCTCAAGTTCTCACGATTAGATCCCCAGCTACCCTTCCACAGTGCGGGCCACTTCTTAAGCCAACTTGAGTTTTAGTTCATGGACACTCTCAGACTGACTGTGACCCATCTATTGAGTAACATAACCAGACATCCTTGAATGCTGAATGACCAGACTGATGCCTGTAAAGCTCCCTGAATGTGTTTCCGTGATTTCCCAGCCTGGCTGCATTGGAGTCAGAGGGCTGACCGTGACCCAAAGGTCCTGAACTGAACAAGAGGTATGGACACCCTGACTGTCACCACCCCAACCAATTGTCTGACCGTAACAAAGCTCCTTGACCTGCTGTTCCAGAACACCCTGCTTAAATGGTGTCTCCCCACACTTGATTGAGGGCATGGCCAATTGGTTGTAGCACATACGGTGGGTTTGCCGCTGACACATGGTGTACGTATCAGACTGAAATAGCACACTTCCATAGAGAAAGATGTCCCACTCTACCCCACCCCACCACCAACCCCACTCTTGGCTGAGGACTGCTGATCAAGATGACAAGCCGTCTGGCTTTATGTCTGCACTAAAATGCAAGATGATGCAGCAGTACTGTGAGCCTTAAAGCTTGGGCTGAGGGGCAAAGCACAAAAAAAAAATGGCAGGGGTGCTACGAGTGTCTAGGTGTATGCTAAATAAGTGAGCATTTAGAAAGCAAGCAAGCTGCCTTGAGATGCAGTCTGATCCAGTCCGTGAGCTGGGTGCCTGTCCCTGTGTGCAAAGAGTCCTTGCAGCAGCATTACAATGAGAGAAGCTAGTGCACTCGAAAGTGTAGCATTAAAGTGCAGATGCATACTGTAAGTAGATTGGAGATGTGCTATGATGGCTGCGAAGAGTCTAGGACGTGTTGGATGCCAAATTTGGTGTATATGATGTTCATGCAGCTGCTGCCCAAACGTATCCAGAGGCACTAGTGCCAGGTGTCCAAGATGGAGGTCCAAAGGAAGAAATAGTGAACTAGAGTTTCCAGTTTCCATGACTTAAGAGATCAGAAATTGACGACATCTGGCCCTGGAAAGATTCCGCCCACGGACATTCTGACAAGTGCTTGTAGAAACCTTATGTTAATTGATCATTTCTTTAGCACGATATGCAGATACATTATCCTTTGTATTTTAAACAGTTGATGTAGATTTCTTGAATTTCTATCCATTTGAGACATTACTTTGCAGTTTAGTGTAGTCACAAAGCCAGGCAGCTTGTCATGCTGGTCAATTTTTGACATACCCCTGAGAACAGCTGTAGTGAAATAACGTATATTGAATTATATTGATTCTATAAAAGGAAAATGGTCTGTGCTTGTATTGTGATCCTCACAAGTCTTCTTCCATCCCTTTACATCTAACTCTAATAACACATTGAAACTTAGACTGTTTGACTCCCTACAGTGTGGAAATAGGCTCTTCAGCCCAACAAGTCCACACTGACTTTCACAGTATCCCACCCAGACCCATCCCCCTATAACCCACCTAATCCACACATCCCTGGACACTATGGGCAATTTAGCATGGCCAATCCACATAGTATGCACATCTTTGGACTGTGGGAGGAAACCGGAGCACCCGGAGGAAACCCACACAGACACGGGGAGAATGTGCAAACTGTACACAGACAGTCGCCCAAGGGTGGAGTCGAACCCACGCCCCTGGTGCAGTGAGGCAGCAGTGCTAACCACTGAGTCACCATGCCACCATGCCACCTACATTCTTCCATTTCTTTATCCCTCATATGTTTCTCTAAATTTCCTTCAAAAGCATCAATGTTGGTCGCCTCAGCTACTGCTTGTAGCATGTTCCATATTCTTACCATTCTTTGGGTAATATGTAGAACAGCATTACTAAAGCTATCTAGATTTCTTGTATACCAAACAGCTGACTGTATGAGCAGATAAGCGACTTCAAGAATATCAGTCAGTGTGGTTACACCTATTTTAACACAGATGGTTTAAAATTTCCACTACAGATCTCAAAGGTTTATTGCAATTCAATCTATTAGTTTCCATTGGAAGAGTCATAGAGTCATACAATGTGGAAACAAACCCTTCGGTCCAACTAGTCCATGCCGACTATATTCCTAAACTAAACTAGTCCAACCTGCCTGCACTTGGCCCATATCTCTCCACACCTTTCCTATTCGTGAACTTATCCAAATGACTTTTAAATGTTGTAACCGTACCTGCATCCATCACTTCCGCTGGCAGTTTATTCCATACACGAATCACCCTCTGCGTAAAAAAGTTGACCCTCATGTCCTTTGTAAATCTTTCTCCTCTCACCTTAAAAATATGCTCTGTAGTTTTGAAATCCCCACTCTAGGGAAAAGACCCTTGTCATTCACCTTATCTATGCCCCTCATGATTTTATATAGCTCTACAAGGTCACACCTTTGCCTCCACAGTCCAGTGAAAAATGTCCCAGCCTTTCAAGTCTATTTTTATATCTCAAACCTTCCATTTCCAGCAACATCTTGGTAAATCTTTTCTGAACCCTCTCCAGTTTAATAATATCCTTCTGATAACAGGGTGACCAAAACTACACACAGTACTCCAGAAGAGGCCTCAACCATGTCCTGTACAACTTCAACATAACATCCCAACTCCTGTACTGAAAGGTCTGAGCAATGAGGGCAAGCATGCGAAATGCCTTCTTAACCACCCTGTCTACCTGTGATGCAAATTTCAAAGAATTACGTACCTGGACCCCTAGGTCTTTTTGCTCTACAACATTACCCAGGGCCCAACCATTAATTGTTTAAGTCCTGTCCTTGTTTACATTACCAAAATGCAATACCTCATATTTATCCAGTTAAACTCCATTTGCCACACCGCAGTCCATTGACTCAATTGATCAATATCTCTTTACAATCTTAAATAACCTTCTTCACTGTTCGCTATACGACTAATTTTGGTGTCATCTGCCAAAGACATTGCCGAAAACCTTCGCATCTAGTAAGTATGCTAAGTATAAAGTCAGTTATTATTGTTTTATGGAAACATATTATGCTGTCCTAATCTCGCATTAAATTTATATCGTGATAATGATAAAAATGAACTGCAATTTTTCACTTTCATCATCTGATTTTAATACATGGGACCTCTCATGGGTTAAGATGGTTTTAAAAAGTGAGAAACACTGACTTAAAATAGCTGTAATGATCACCTGACCATAGGATACGCAACATCGGGAACTTTCAATAAATAGGAATCAGTCTAAATTGAAACTAACATTTCATCAAATTGACTAAAAGCAATCACTCAGATCTGTATCTCCTGTTTGATTCACATCTTTCTTGAATGTTCACATAATGCAATGTAAGTCTGGCCTGCAGTTTATCCAATTGGAAGAAACAATGAAGCCAGATATAGGAATACACAAAGGAAAGGTATTTTAGAAACTGTTTTTTGGCACAGCAGAGAAAAAAGAATAATGGATTTACAACAGCATAAGTGGAAGGTTTGTTCTTTCTGTCTGTCCCTGTTTATCTCACAGCCTCTTGGAAGTCTATGTCTAGTAAACACCAATTAGAGAAACATCTATTAAATGAGAGCTCAAAAACATCTATAATTTTGCTACGGCAGGGAATATGTCATCATTTAAATAGCCGTAATCTCAGGTTAACACTGACACTCCTCTTTTTAAATTTCATACCTGTATTTGTGTGCATGTTTGATATGGTGTTGTATTATTATCCCAGGGTCAATAGGCAATAAAATTTCTCTTTATTTCACTGAAGAAAACATTGCAACTGACTCCTCTATTTTAGCACTAGCAAATACAACACTTGAAGCATGTTTAAAAGAGGGGAGCTGATTCATCCCTCCACATCTGGTTTTAACAGCGATTATTGCAATTAATAAATGAGCTCAATTCTACATCAAAAAATTGACCTATCTGCTTCATAAGAATTCTGAGTTCTTTCAGATTTGAGATAGAAATGTAGAAAATAGGTGCAGGAGTAGGCCATTTGGCCCTTTGAGCCTGCACTACCATTCAATAAGATCGTGGC